GTCATTGTTTGGCGGGCCTGGGCTGGATTCGAACCCGCCACCTTAGGTGTATGTGGCTGGTGCCTTAGCTGCTTGAGCCACAGGCACCGAGCCTATTTTTGCGTTCTATGAAAATTTTTGTTACTCCATATAGACCAAATTTTTAATCAAGAACACACCCCCTCCTCCACCCTACCCCTGAGCAATGGTGTCCTAGTTTACCAACGTTAAAGTCTGGTCACCCTAGTCTCAATAGAAGATCAAACCAGCCACATCATTGCCTTAAGCCAGGTATCCTCAAATTATGGCTCGCCGGCCACATGTGGCCTATCTAGGACATTTATCCGTCCTGTCAAGTGTTTTTGCCGCAGCTGCCTGTCCTGCTTAGCAGCTGACTTGTCCCAGGGCCTGCAGTCTGGGCCTCCAAAGGTCTGAGAGACAGTGAACTGGCCCCCTGTTTAAAAAGTTTGAGGACCCCTGAAAAGCTAATCCAGAGCAAAGCCCTAACTCTTCAATTCTGTGAAGGCCAAGAGAGGTGAGGAAGCAATGGAAGAAATGTTGGAAGCTAACAGAGGTTAGTTCATAAGGTTTAAGAGAAGAGGTCATTTTTATAACATAAAGGCAGCAAGTGCTAATGGGGAAGCTATAGCAAGTTTTCCAGAAGATCTAGCTAAGATCATTGATAAAGGTGGCTACACTAAACAACACATTTTCTTTTTTTGAGACAGAATGTCTCACTCTGTCACTGTGGGTAGAGAGCCATGGTGTTATAGCTCACAGCAGCTTCACACTCTTGGGCCCAAGACCTCCTCTCTCCTTAGCCTCCCGAATAGCTGGGACTACAAGCACCTGCCTGGTTAGTTTTTCTGTTTTTGGTAGAGATGGGGGTCTTGCTCAGGCTGGTCTTGAACTCCTGAGCTCAGGTGATCACCTGACTTGGTCTCCCAGAGTGGTAGGATTCCAGGCATGAGCTTCCATGCTGGCCAACACATTTTCAATGTGCGTGAAATAGCCTTTTGTTGGAAGGAGGTAACATCTAGGACTTGGTTAAATAGAAAGGGGAAGTTGATGTCTGTCTTCAAAAAGACAGGTTGACTCTCTTGTTAGGAGTTAATATAGCTGATGACTTTATATTGAAGCCAGTACTAAGACTTTTAAGAATTCTGCTAAATCTACTCTGCCCATTCTCTAGAAGTGAAACAACAAAGCCTGAATGACAGCATGTATGTACTGCTCAGAAAAAGGTTGTTTTCAAAATATTACTGCTCACTGACAATATACCTGATCACCTAAGAGCTCTAATGTATAAGCAGATTAGTGTTGTTTTCATGCCTGCTAACACAACCTCCATTCTGCAGCCTGTGTGTCAAGTTTTACTTAGACATAAATTTCATAAGGCCATCGCTGCCACAGATAGTGATTCCCCTGATGAATCTGGGTAAAGTATGCTGAAGATCTTGTGGAAAGGATTCACCATTAGATGCCATTAAGAGCATTTGTGATTTTATGGAGGGAGGTCAAAATATAATGATATCAAAAAGTTTGGAGAAAGATAACTTTGAGGGGTTGGTGATTGGAGTAGGGGAAATAACTACAGGTGTGATGGGAATAGCAAGAGAATTTGCAATAGAGCCTGAAGATAGGGCCAAATGAATTGCAATCTTATGATCAAACTTGAACAAATGAGGAACTGTTCCTTGTGGATGAGCAAAGAAACTGGTTTCTTGAGATGAATCTACTGTTGGTGAAGATGCTTTGAACATTGTTGGAATGACAACAAAAAAATTGGTATATTACATAAATTTAATTGATAAATAAGAGGGGTGTTTGAGATGATCAGCTATAAATTTTGGAAGAAGTTCCGTGGGAAAAATGCTATCAAACAGCATTACAGAGAAATCTTTCATGAAAAGACAATTGATGTGGCAAAAAAAAAAAA